AAAAGTAAAACTGTCAAATTTGCAAAACTCATTTAAAATTAAGTTTTTTTTTCTAAAATTTTCTCTTATACTTTAAAAAAAATTTTTTTTCATTAACGTTAAGTAAAAAATTTTTAATTTTGGGTCCAAAAAAATCTTTGAAAATTTACCTAACCCTTAAATTTTTTTCAAAACAATTTATTTAGCCTAACCCAACTAAATTTAAAATTTTTGATTTTTACAGAATTTAATACTAAAAAAAGACATGAAAAATTTTTTTTCGTTAAGTTCAAAAGATTTTGGCGAAATTTTGCATACACAAATTTTCACTTGTCCTATATGGCAAAATGACGTTGCATTAAGCCCAAAATCGCAAGTTCTGCTATTTGGGACGACTATATATATATATAAATATAAATATAATAATATAATATAATAATATTAAAAATATATATATATATAATATATCTTGGGGGATCTTTTCAAAACATGTAAAACATCAAAGGGGCCAAATATACTGGGGTTTTTCAAAAAAATTTAAAGTCGTCATTTTCATGAGTGAAAACTTGTGTTTTCGTGAATATAAGAACTTTTAGGGTTAGTTTGTATCTAACATGCGCCGCCTCCCCCTCCTGTGTTTGTAGCCATAGATTTCAAGGGATATAAGGGCCAGGGATGTACCCAACATTACAGAGGAATGTAATAACCGGGACTAGGCCCCCATAATTCTGATGGCTAAACAAGTTTCAGTAGTAATGAATTATTTTCATGTTTTTATCTGGTTACAATCGAAACCCGATATAAACGAATTAGGTCAAACTCACAAAAAATTAATTACAAAATTTTTAATTAGCAAGGTAAGTTTAAAAAAAAAAAAAAAGAAAAAAAAGTTAGTGAGGGTTTTGGTTTTTTTTTTCATGGAAAAGTCAGGTATTTTTAAATAATGGTTCGAAAAACCACTCGGTAAAATACTTGAAGCTATTTCTTTTTGAGGAGTTGTCTTTTTTCTTTCTTTCTTTGTTGGGTTTTTCAGGGGCCCCTGACATAAACCCGTATCGAGCCCGGTTTCTCGATGGGGCGAAGAAAATTGTTGTCCAAGGTTGGGGGGTGAGAGAAAAGAACAAAAGTTTTTCCCTTTTTAAATGGAGATGGAACTTTAAGTTTCCATTAGATCCGGTGGGCGCCCTTGCCAACCCCCCGCAGAGAGGGACGCCAACACCCCCACCTGAGTTCAGTAACCGGCTTCCCCCCCAAAAACCGTTAAAGAATTTTTCCCCCAACGGAAAAAAAAGGAGCGGGTAAAATAAGCCGATAAAAAGGGGCCCCCGTAGAGTTCCCGGGGGCCAAAAAAAGATAGGGCAACGCCCAGTGAGAACGGTGGAAAATTTGTCACTGATACTCAGGTGAGAGAGAGACTCCACACACGAAAAGAAGGGTGGCGCATTATCCCCACTCGGTGGTTTTTCTGAAAACATTCAGTTATCACATTCCGCACATGACGCAAGATGTACGCAATCTAACACATAAAGACGCAAAGTGTACACTTTTCCCTCTTGCACACTTTATATTTAAGATTTTTTTTTCAACAATCGGCCCTCCCCAGGCAGGTGACCCAAAGAGAAAGAAAACCCAAAAAAAAAAAAAATTCATCATCAATCACACTTCACCTCATTTTACCAAATCACTGTTTTTTCAGAGGTGCCAGAACAAACATTTAGAGGGAATTAAAGAAAAAAAAGCAACATACTCCCAAACGCCCAAAACTCAAATCCCCCCTTTAGGTGCAGGCATTGTACTTCCCATTTCCAGGGCCAAACCGGCATATAAAATAACCGTTTCCCTGAAACCCTTCACTAAAAATTACCCGCTCAACTCCAACAATCGTCGATCCCAAAAACCATTTTTCTCCATTCACCCTATCTAACACGCTCATGCACGCTTTTCTGAAAGTCCAAACACCTCGCCCCAACAACCTCCTTTACCCCCTCCCCCAACCTTTCGAGCGACCCCACCCCGCCTTCCTTCCCCTACAGGTTTTTTTACGCTCTCCATGTCATCTACTTTTTATCCATTCTCTCTAAAAGACCAAACCACCCAAAAACCCCTCCAGCCCCCTGACTACTTTATTAACTCCACCCCCTCCTAATTTCCACACCCCAATTTTTTCTGCATAATATTACACCCACTTCCCTAACAGGCATCTCCACGCCTCCAACCGCCTCCTCGCTTCCATTTACAACCCAAGTTTCACACCCAATAAGAGTTTGGGACGGCTTACATTTAACATTTCCCCTTTTTGCCCCAAGAAAAATTTTTGCCTCCACATTTATCTCAACAAACCACTACCTTTTTCCTTCATCAATTCTAGGATTAATCTCATCCTTATAATCCATTTGCTGCTGTCACTCCCAAATATCTGAAAAAAATTCACTTCTTCCCTACTCCCCTCCCCAATTTGTATCCAATTTTTCTTTATCTAAATCATTTTAGCTCTCATCACCTACTCTTTTTTATGCTCACTTTCAACTTTTTACCTTTACACACATTCCATATTCGTCCACTAACCTTTGCAATTTTTCTTTAGAATCTCCCATAAGCACAGTATCATCAGCAAAAAGTAACTGTGTCACTTCCCATTTTGTTTTTAATTCCCCATAATTTAATCCCACCCCTCTCCCGAACACCCTAGCATTTACTTCTTTTACAACCCCATCTATAAATATATTAAACAACCATGGTGACATTACACATCCCTGTCTAAGACCTACTTTTACCGGGAAGTAGTCTCCCTCTCTTCTACACACCCTAACCTGAGCCTCACTATCCTCATAAAAACTCTTTACAGCATTTAGTAACTTACCACCTATTCCATACACTTGCAACATCTGCCACATTGCTCCCCTATCCACTCTATCATATGCATTTTCTAAATCCATAAATGCAATAAAAACTTCCTTACCTTTATCTAAATACTGTTCACATATATGCTTCAATGTAAACACTTGATCTACACATCCCCTACCCGCTCTAAAACCTCCTTGCTCATCCGCAATTCTACATTCTGTCTTACCTCTAATTCTTTCAATAATAACCCTACCGTACACTTTTCCTGGTATACTCAGTAAACTTATTCCTCTATAATTTTTACAATCTCTTTTGTCCCCCTTCCCTTTATATAAAGGGACTATATATTCTTAAAAACTTTATGCATACGTATAATTTTTTCACACTCCTAAAGAATTGCTAAACATAACAAGAACTTTTAGCAACATTATCTAAATGGGACAAAAGAGAGTGCAGGAATTATAGGGGAATAAGTCTGTTGGGTATACCTGGTAAAGTGATGGTAGAGTTATTTAATTGAAAGAATAAGAGTGATAGCACTTGAACAAGGAGGCTTTAGGAAGGGTAGCGGGTGTGTAGATCAAGTGTTTACAGTGAAACATATAGGTGAATAGTAATTAGATAAGGGTAAAGAGGTTTTAGTGGCATTTATCGATTTGGGAAAGGCATATGATCGGGTGGATAGGGGGGCAATGTGGCAGATGTTGCAAATGTAGGAAAGGAGGTAGGTTACTGAAAGCAGCGAAGAGTTTTTACAAGGATAGTGAGGCTCAGGTTAGAGTATGTAGGAGAGAGGGAGATTATTTCCCAGCAGAAGTAGACCTTAGACAAGGATGTGTGATGTCACCGTGGTTGTTCAATATATTTATAGATGGGGTTGTAAGAGAAGTGAATGCTTGGGTGTTGGCAAGATGTGTGGGATTAAAAGATAAAGAATCTAACACAAAGTGGGAGTTGTCACAGTTGCTCTTTGCTGATGACACTGCTTTTGGGAGATCCTGAAGAGAAGTTGCAGAGATTGGTTGATTAGTTTGGTAGGGTATGTAAACAAAGAAATTTAAAAGTGAATACAGGAAAGAGTAAGGTGATGAGGATAACAAAAAAATTAGGTGACGAAAGACTGGATGATGATTGTAGGGAGAGAGTAGGAGGAGGTGAATGTTATTCAGATATTTAGGAGTGGACGTGTCAGCAGATGGGTCTATGAAGGATGAGGTGAATCACAGAATTGAAGGGAAAAAGGTGAGTGGTGCACTTAGGAGTTTGTGGAGACAAAGAACTTTGTCCAATGGAAGCAAATAGGAAAAGTATGAGAGTATATTTATAACCAACACGTATATGGGTGTAAAGCTTGGGTGGTGAAGGGTGAAACAAGGAATGGCTGAGGCAGTGGAGATGTTAGTCCTGAGGGCAATGTGTGGGGGTGAATATAATGCAGATAATTTCGTGAGTTTGGACAATGGAGGAGGTGCGGGATTACCAAAAACTTTAACGGGGAGGCTGAGGAGGTTGTTGAGGTGGGCTCAGACATGACAGAAGGATGGAACAAATAAATGACTTCGAGAGTGTATAAATCTGTAGTGGAGGGATGGCAGGGTAGGGGTCGGCCTAGGAAAGGTTGGAGAGAGGGGATAAAGAAGGTTTTGTGTACGAGGGGCTTGGGTTTCCAGCAAGCATGCATGAGTGTGTTTGATAGGAGGGAACAGAGACAAATGGTTTTTAGGACTCGACGTGCTGTTGGAGTGTGAGCAAGGCAACATTTGTGAAGGGATTCAGGGAAACCGGTTACTCAGACTTGAGTCCTGGAGATGGAAAGTACAGTGTCGGCACTCTGAAGGAGGGGTGTTAATGTTGCAGTTTTATAACTGCAGTGTAAGTGCTCCTCTGGCAAGACAGTGATGGAGTGAATGATGATGAAAGTGTTTCTTTTTTTTGGGGGGCCACCCTGCCTTGTGAGGACAGCGATGTGTTATAATATTAATAATATAATTATATTAATATATATATATATTATATATAGTATAATTTTAATATATATATAAAAATGCATATTTTGAAATCACCTGTTTACTGTGAATCTTATTCATATATATATATATATATATATATATATATATATATATATATATAATATATATATTATATATATATATATATATATATGGATTACATTGCGCAGAAATACAAAAATGATCATAACTGTAAGTCATATTGCATTTTGAGGGAAGAATTGAAAATAATCTTTATATTTTACATGAGATATTTTGATCTGTGATGAGCATTATTTATAACGACTGAATTTTTATGCTGTTCCGTTAGTATCTGTATGCAAATTATATATACGGAACGTGTCTTAATGCTACTGTACATACACGTAGATGGACTAAACGAGACACTAACTCTCTTGTTGCCTCTTCCACCTACACGTCTATCACGAGAGGTGGTGACAGAAAGGAGATACAAGGGTCAACAGCAGCATCAACAGCCACTTGGCTCGCCTCTCACTCCCTCCTGATACTTGCATGGCCGCTGGAGCCTCACCTGAGCAAGAAAGAAAGAAAGCTTAATTATGCATCACTGAAATTTTAATAACCAACACGGATAGACTTTTCTGCCAGTGGGTTAGCACAGGTCTTAAAAAGGGTTACTTTCTAACACTCCTCATAATGTAGCAACTGTAGACTTGCAGTGATCACCAATTGTGTTACAACACTGCCGTTTGTAAAGAGAGCAACCCACTATATGTAATTAAGGATGGGAGGGCACTTGCAGGCACACAGTAGTAGCGTGATGGAGGAGGATGACGTACCATCTATAATGTGTAGCGTGATGGAGGCTGGGATGGCGTTGGCAGGTACACAGGTGTAGTTACCAGAGTGGCTGCGTACTACACCCTCTAGCGTCAACACACTTCCGTCCTTCGTCTTATGCACGGACACCTGCAAAATAAACACTTGTCGGTGTGGGCACATGTTGCTTGCATCCACCTACCAGGGTGGGCATCTATTGTTTATGTACTGAGAGAGATACAGTGCATTATGCTAGACACGAATATTTGAGACAATATCTGAGATAATATCTCAGATAATACGTGGGTTGATGAAGTATTTCTTAAGTTTAGATTTCGTCAGATGGTTCTCCTGGCGTAACGTTTTCTTACTCTGTGCACACATTAAACCACAACTTGTCGGTGTTTACAAAAACAAAGTTCATTGTGGAGAAAATTTCTCCAGGAGGGGGGTATCAGCCCCTTTCAGCCCCTTCAGCCCCTTTCAGCCCTGAGGGGCCCAGCCCTCTCAGAAGGGGCAAATATCTTGTTTACTGCTACAGTGAGTAATTGACCCCAGATGCAGTACCAGTATGTGACGTGGCTCGACGCTCCGTGCGGTCCTGTGTTGCAAAGTGTAGCTTAATAAAAGACAGTTCATCTCTTACCTTAGCAGGACAATTAAGGAAAATCCTGCTCCCACTTTATTACCATAGTAAAGATAGTGGACATTGTTGTCTATGCTTAAGACAGCAAGAATCAAACATTCTGCTTTGCTTCATCGAGGAAGTGGCAAGGAAGCAAAAGTACTAGGTCAGCTTTTCCTTTGTGCTAGGGGAGTAACGGCGTGGGGCGTTGTGGCGTCTTCAGATTACTTTTGACTCTACTGAGAGTGACACTGACGTCAGGATAAACAGCAAAGAACACTGATCTGTGCATTAGTGTGAACAAAGTGTCTCATAAAACACAATAAACACTTAAGAGAAGTGTGATCAGCTTCTTTAGTGATAAGTTTGTGAACAATAAAGAAAAATCTTGTGGAACATAGTGTACCAGTGTGCGTATTCCTAGACTATGGAAGACGTGGACATCCAAGGACACTTCAGCTTCCATCAAGTCACCGATATCTGTGTGAAGAACACCATAGCTCACGCTACAAGAGCAAGGTAGGTTACGAATTTCTTGTAGTACGGGGGACTGCGCAGTTCTTGAGTCGCAAGGAGTTTGTAATCAACCTATAGTCGGCAGTTAGGTGCGGACTTTTGAGTCCACACAAGTAAGTTTGTCAGCCATCAGTGAATGAAATATGCTGACATAACACCCCCTAGGGGTAATTTATAATCTTACGAATTATAACTCATTTATAGCCCGTTGAGAGATGACTTCGACAGCTTCTCAAGACCTCGTCTGCAGGGGCGGCTGTGCAGGCGATGAGCTGTCTTTCTAAGTTAAGTACAAACTCTTTAAACTTAACTGGTAATGCCATTTCTCAACATTCATTGTTTTCATGCAATAATTTCCGAGTGCCTTATCCAACTGACTTCACTCTCCAACATTAATTACTTGATAGAGCAATTCCTGACCTGCTTGATGTGCTGGTGTGTTTTAGAAATATCTCTTCAGCCTGGAGTCATACCTGGTGTTTCTTACTGTAGGGTTTAAATTAGTTTCGATCTGTGCTTGTCCTGATTTGCTATTTTTTTTAATTGGAGATATTAGTGTCCATGTGATAGCTTGCAAATACCTATTCTGTTTGGTTCAACTCTTCGATACTGATATATAACTCTGTACTATTCCTTCCGTGTGCACTTACAGGAATACTTTCCTTGGATTATGCAGTGACCGAAACTTACCTACTTCTTCAAGTCTTTGCCATTTTCAGTATTTTCTGTCTAGGATCCACAGAGAGAATAATACTTTGGCTTTGTGAGTCAACATTTTTAGCGTTGTTGAGAAACCAAAACAGATCAAGTCTCAAAACACATTGAGCATGGTATTCCTTGTGCAGTTGTTAAGGTTATCCCTCGAGTTAATGAGCTGGTTGTCAAAAAAAAAAAAAAAAAAAAAAGAAAAGAAAACAGGCTGAGGCAACTCTTTATTATTAGTATTTAGTGTTCGGTAAATAATTTTGACAAATTTTGTATTTTATAAATATCCTGAGTTAAAGTTGTCGATGTTATCATTAGTTTAAAATCTATAATCTATAATCTATAATCTCTACACATAAAATAAAATCAATATTTTATAAGTGTACAGAGAAGCAACAAGGTTGGGAACCCCTGTGTTCTATACGGATAAAACAAGTGATTCTTGAAACATTTCCGCAATAAAGATACCTAGATATTGCCGGCATATCATTAAAATATCTAATATTATTCTATGGACTTATATTTGCAGATCAGCAGAGGCAGGAAGACACCTGGTTGCCTCTCTATACCGAAGGTTCAATATCATAAGTTCCCCACTTTTATTAATACCAGGTATTCCCAGGGGTTTGTTTACATTCAACACTCGCATTATCCTGATTTGAAATTCCAGTGTTTTCCTAAAGAGGTTCTCAACCAATACCCTGAAAAGCTTTGGGTCGTAAGATATCCTTAGGGTACGTATATTCTTTTTCTAGTATAATGGCGCCTCAACACCTCGGCTGGAAGCCGTGACTCACACCTCCTCTTGTGTCTTAATGGTCCCATAATCTTAAATAATCTTGCTATTTTTTTTACCCACACGCATTCGGTTGACAGACGCAGGTAATATTATGTTGAGGAAAGTTACATGATCACTTAGTGGTGTTATCAAGAGTATTAGAAATGATAAGTGAGGTGAATAATTTTTAATTGAGACGATAAGCTTGTTTAATCTTGTTTTACTAAAAGTTATGACACAGATTTTTCGGATCCATTGTAAAAAGATAACTAGAAGGTCTGTAGAAGAAGGAGGATGATGTAGACGGAGTGGGAAAAGAGGGGAAGGGTGTTGTATAAGTGAATGAATGAGGGTCGTGTACTTCAATGGAAAAGAGATAATAGGGAGAAGGTTGTAAGTAGTACATAGGGAGAAGAGAGAGGTAGTGGTTTAAGAGAAGAGGTGAAAGAAGAAGAGAGTTGGAGAGGAGAGAGAGGGGGGAGGAAGAAAGAAAAAGTAGACGATGGGCAGATGGAGAGTGAAGGGACCAGAGGGAGGAAGAGAGAATAGAGCTTAGGAAGGTAGAGGAAGGAGAGATGGGTATGTGGAGAGAGGAATATGATTGGTTAGGTACAGTGAAGCACTACACTGTCCATTGGGTGGTACAAGTGAAGACTAACTGATGCTGTCATGAGACTAACTGTAACTGTGTTACTAGAAGCATTACAACTGTTATGGGCTGGTACAGTGAAGCATAACTGTCATGGGCTGGTGAACAGTGAAGCACTACTGTCACGGGCTGGTACAGTGAGCATCACGTCAGGGGTGGTAAGTGAAGCAAACTGTCAGGGTGTACAGTGAAAGCATACACTGCAAGGATGGTACAGTGAAGCACTAAACTGCAATGGGCGGGTACAGTGGGAAGCACACGGCATGGGCTGGTAAGGAAGCACTACACTGTATGGGCTGGTACAGTGAAGCAACACTGCATGGGCTGGTAGACAGTGAAGCCTACAATGAATGGGCTGGTACAGTGAAGCACTACACTTGTAGGGGAGGTACAGATGAATGCACTACAACTGTCATGGGTGGTACGTGAATGCACTACACTTCTATGGGCTGGTACAGTGAAGCACTACACTGTCATGGGCTGGTACAGTGAAGCACTACACTGTCATGGGGCTGGTACAAGTGAAGCACTACACTGTCATGGGCTGGTACAGTGAAGCACTACACTGTCATGGGCTGGTACAGTGAAGCACTACACTGCAGGGCTGGTACAGTGAAGCACACACTGCATGGGCTGGTACAGTGAAGCACTAACACTGTCATGGGCTGGTACAGTGAAGCACTACACTGTCATGGGCTGGTACAGTGAAGCACTACACTGTCATGGGCTGGTACAGTGAAGCACTACACTGTCATGGGCTGGTACAGTGAAGCACTACACTGTCATGGGCTGGTACAGTGAAGCACTACACTGTCATGGGCTGTACAGTGAAGCACTACACTGTCATGGGCTGGTACAGTGAAGCACTACACTGTCATGGGCTGGTACAGTGAGCACTACACTGTCATGGGCTGGTACAGTGAAGCACTACACTGTCCATGGGCTGGTACAGTGAAGCACTACACTGTCATGGGCTGGTACAGTGAAGCACTACACTGTCATGGGCTGGTACAGTGAAGCACTACACTGTCATGGGCTGGTGCAGTGAAGCACTACACTGTCATGGGCTGGTACAGTGAAGCACTACACTGTCATGGGCTGGTACAGTGAAGCACTACACTGTCATGGGCTGGACAGTGAAGCACTACACTGTCATGGGCTGGTACAGTGAAGCACTACACTGTCATGGGCTGGTGCAGTGAAGCACTACACTGTCATGGGCTGGTACAGTGAAGCACTACACTGTCATGGACTGGCAGTTCATTATTGTTACATTCTCTCGTCTGATGCTGTTTCTTGTCTTCAGAAGGTCAATCAAGACCTTGAAAAACATGTAAGTTTATGTATGATGTCTGGAGTGCTGTTTTAAGTATATGTCTGGTGCTGTTTTATGTTGATGTCTGGAAGGCTGTTTTAGTATGATGTCTGGAGTGCGTTATTAGTATGATGGCTGGTAGTGCTGTTTTACATGTATGATGTCTGGAGTGCTGTTTTATGTATGATGTCTGGAGTGCTGTTTTATGTATGATGTCTGGAGTGCTGTTTTATGTATGATGTCTGGAGTGCTGTTTTATGTATGATGTCTGGAGTGCTGTTTTATGTATGATGTTGGATGCTGTTTTTTGTATGATGTCTGGAGTGCTGGTATTATGTATATGTCTGGGGCTGCAGTGTTATGTATGTGTCTGGAGTGCTGTTTTATGTATGAATGTACTGAGAGTGCTGTTTTATGTATGCAGTCTGAGTGCTTTTTTTGTATGATGTCTGGTCTGTTTTTTTAGAATGGTCTGCCGTGCTGTTTTATGTATGATGTCTGGAGTGCTGTTTTATGTATGATGTCTGGAGTGCTGTTTTATGTATGATGTCTGGAGTGCTGTTTTATGTATGATGTCTGGAGTGCTGTTTTATGTATGATGTCTGGAGTGCTGTTTTATGTATGATGTTTGGAGTGCTGTTTTATGTATGATGTCTGGAGTGCTGTTTTTTGTATGATGTCGGAGTGCTGTTTTATGTATGATGTCTGGAGTGCTGTTTTATGTATGATGTCTGGAGTGCTGTTTTTGTATGATGTTTGGAGTGCTGTTTTTATGTATGATGTCTGCAGTGCTGTTTTATGTATGATGTCTGGAGTGCTGTTTTATGTATGATGTCTGGAGTGCTGTTTTATGTATGATGTCTGGAGTGCTGTTTTATGTATGATGTCTGGAGTGCTGTTTTATGTATGATGTCTGGAGTGCTGTTTTTATGTATGTGTCTGGAGTGCTGTTTTATGTATGATGTTGGAGTGCTGTTTTATGTATGATGTCTGGAGTGCTGTTTTATGTATGATGTTGGAGTGCTGTTTTTTGTATGATGTCTGGAGTGCTGTTTTATGTATGATGTCTGGAGTGCTGTTTTATGTATGATGTCTGGAGTGCTGTTTATGTTATGATGTCTGGAGTGCTGTTTTATGTATGATGTCTGGAGTGCTGTTTTATGTATGATGTCTGGAGTGCTGTTTTATGTATGATGTCTGGAGTGCTGTTTTATGTATGATGTCTGGAGTGTGTTTTTTGTATGATGTCCGGAGTGCTGTTTTATGTATGATGTCTGGAGTGCTGTTTTATGTATGATGTCTGGAGTGCTGTTTTATGTATGATGTCTGGAGTGCTGTTTTATGTATGATGTCTGCAGTGCTGTTTTATGTATGATGTTGGAGTGCTGTTTTATGTATGATGTCTGGAGTGCTGTTTTATGTATGATGTCTGGAGTGCTGTTTTATGTATGATGTCTGGAGTGCTGTTTTATGTATGATGTCTGGAGTGCTGTTTATTGTATGATGTCTGGAGTGCTGTTTTATGTATGATGTCTGGAGTGCTGTTTTTTGTATGATGTCTGGAGTGCTGTTTTATGTATGATGTCTGAGTGCTGTTTTATGTATGATGTTGGAGTGCTGTTTTATGTATGATGTCTGGAGTGCTGTTTTATGTATGATGTCTGGAGTGCTGTTTTATGTATGATGTCTGGAGTGCTGTTTTATGTATGATGTCTGCAGTGCTGTTTTATGTATGATGTCTGGAGTGCTGTTTTATGTATGATGTCTGGAGTGCTGTTTATGTATGATGTCTGCAGTGCTTTTTTATGTATGATGTCTGGAGTGCTGTTTTATGTATGATGTCTGGAGTGTCTGTTTTATGTATGATGTCTGCAGTGCTGTTTTATGTATGATGTCTGCAGTGCTGTTTTATGTATGATGTCTGGAGTGCTGTTTTATGTATGAAATGAATCTTATCCATCATGATGGTCATATTATCATGATGATCATATTATTATGATGGCCATATCATGATGATGATCACATCATCATCATGATCATATTATCATGATGGTCATATTATCAAGGCGATCTGATGGTTTCACAAGCCACCCCTGTTACTACCATCATGAGAGTGTGATCCACCTGTCTGTGTACAGAACTGTCATTCACCTGTCTATGTACAGGACTTTCATCCACCTGCCTGTGGCCAGGAGTGTCATCCACTTGTCTGTGGCCAGGACTGTCACCCCCCTGTCTTGCTCGTGTCTCTTACCCACCTCTCTGGTTCTCTTAGGTGTCACTCACCTGTCTGTTGGTGTCAAAGTTGATCATGGTGCGATTGTGGTACCAGAAGACGTAGAGAGGTGGCTGTGTGTGGTGACGGAGGGTACAGTTGAGTACCACTGAGCTGCCCTCCTCAACATACCTCTCTGCTCCACCTGGGATCTCTGCTGAGGCTTCTGTGTGTGGTGAAGCAAAGACCTGGATTATACTGTCTCTCACGTACATGTTCTCTCTCTCTCTCTCTCTCTCTCTCTCTCTCTCTCCCACACACACATACACACATATCTCATCCCTGTATAGCTCATAGCGTACAGTTGGCTGTGGAACATATTTTAACAATTTATCCTCAGATTGGGTCTGTCCGCCATCCTCATGACTTGTACAATTACCGAGGTACCTGTAGGGACCTCGGGGGAACTTTCTGAAATACATAATTTAATGGAGTTATTATCTAATGCTGGTTATTTTAAATTGGAATGATAGTATTTATTTGTTAAGCGTTCATTTCATTTCTTCTTTTTGTTAATTTTTTCCTTGTTCTAGTGTAATGATTATATTTTGTCATGGCTGTAAGAGTTGAGAGAAGCCACAGTGCTAGTGAAATGTTACTATTACTACTACTACTACTATTACTACTACTACTTCTCTTACTACTACTCTCTCATACCTGTGATAGAGAGTGTAGATATAAACACCATGGGAGGATGAGTGGACAGTTGACAAACATACTGGCCGGCGTCCCTGGCCTGGGCGTACCGCAGGTGGAGTCTCCACTCCTGTCCGAACATAACCGGTGTTAACACATGGAGGGTCTAGCAAAGTTCACTTTATCCTCTGTCATCGGGATGATTTTCGTTCAAAGAGCGTCATTTTACAGTAAAAATGCCATTTTTATATATGTAAAAGGAGACTAACACCCAGGTACCTACTTACTGCTAGGTGAACAGTGACAGCAGTTGTCTGTCCTAATACACACCAAGACTGAGGGACTGACCACCTCAAACTTCTTCAAGGCTGAGGGACTGACTCCCCTCAAATTTCTTCAAGGATATGGAACTGACCCCCCCCCCCTCAAACTTACTACCTCAAGACTGAGGGACTGACCCCCCTCAAATTTCTTGAAGGATGAGGGACTGACGCCCCACAAATTTCTTCAAGGCTGAGGGACTGACTCCCCTCAAATTTCTTCAAGGATATGGAACTGACCCCCCCCCCCCAACTTTACCTCAAGACTGAGGACTTGACCCCACTCAATTTCTTGAAGGATGAGGGACTGACGCCACTCAAACTTTAAGGTAGGACTGACCCCCTCAAACTTACTACTTCAAGACTGAGGACTGACCACTCAAGCTTTTCCAAGGCTGAAGGACTTTCTACCTCCATCTCACTTTTCCAAGGCTGAGAGACTACCTGGTAAAAAAAAAACTTTAAGGCTAAGGATTGACCACCTCAATTTTTCATTCTCTTCGAAGACTGATCATATATACCAACAACCTCACTGTTCTTATGTTCATCTGATTTCGACTGTAAAATCCTTTACGTGCAGGCGAACCTCTCCAATAAAGCTACAAACTGTTGCACGTGTCTACTCATGTAATTTTTAATTTATTTCGTACCATAATAAAAAAAAAGGGTGTACTTATTGTAGAGTAGTGGAAATAAGATTTGTCACTTGACTAATGGATGTGATTTCTGAAAAAAAAATAAGATGTGAAACAGTTTACTAGAGATTTAAGATAATGCAGTAGGTAGAGACAGAAGGAATGAGAAGGAAAATAATGCGATATTCTTACGTCTGCCAATAAAAGCAGCAGTTACTGTTTGCACATAATAGTAATCTTACTGTCTGAATATAATAGCAGTAGCTTATTCTCGCATATAATAGTTATATTTTACTGTTCGCCACAGTAATTGCTAATGTCTTCCACGATAACAGCTTCAACTGTCTGCCACAGTATTAGCTTACTGTCTGCCACATAGCACAGACGTACGGACTTGGAGAAGTAATCTCGCTGGGAGATTACCCGTAAGACATAGTCGCAAGAAAAGCGAGAAAATGAAGGCTAACTACTAATCATGGGAGACTTTGTTGATAATTATAATTACTGGTGAGAATTTAAATTACAGAATGGAGAGGAAACGCGAAGAGAAAACTGATTTCAGGCAGTAATGGGAAGATTTTTGGCACAGCTATTAGAGGAGGTTCGAAGTTATTATGAGGATGGACCAGTATGTTTACTGGTGAGGATGTACCAGTATGTTTACTGGTTAGGATGGACCAGTATGTTTACTGGTGAGGATGTACCAGTATGTTTACTGGTTAGGATGGACCAGTATGTTTACTGGTGAGGATGTACCAGTATGTTTACTGGTGAGGATGGACCAGCATGTTTACTGGTGAGGATGGACCAGTATGTTTATTGGTGAGGATGTACCAGTATGTTTACTGGTGAGGATGGACCAGCATATTTACTGGTGAGGATGTACCAGAATGTTTACTGGTGAGGATGTACCAGTATGTTTACTGGTGAGGATGTGCCAGTATGTTTACTGGTGAGGATGGACCAGTATTTTTACTGGTGAGGATGTACCAGTATGTTTTACTGGTGAGGATGGTACTCAGTATATTTACTGGTGAGGATGTACTAGAATGTTTACTGTGAGGATGTACCAGTATGTTTACTGGTGAGGATGGTACCAGTATGTTTACTGGTGAGGATGGACAGTATGTTTACTGGTGAGATGTACAGTATGTTTACTGGTGAGGATGTACCAGTATGTTTTACTGGTGAGGATGACCAGTATGTTTACTGGTGAGGATGGACCAGTATGTTTACTGGTGAGGATGTACCAGTATGTTTACTGGTGAGGATGTACCAGTATGTTTACTGGTGAGGATGTACCAGCATGTTTACTGGTGAGGATGTACCAGTATGTTTACTGGTGAGGATGGACCAGTATGTTTACTGGTGAGTATGTACCAGTATGTTTACTGGTGAGGATGTACCAGTATGTTTAATGGTGAGGATGGACCAGTATGTTTACTGGTGAGGATGTACCAGTATGTTTACTGGTGTGGATAGACCAGTATGTTTACTGGTGAGGATGTACCAGTATGTTTACTGGTGAGGATGTACCAGCATGTTTACTGGTGAGGATGTACCAGTATGTTTACTGGTGAGGATGGACCAGTATGTTTACTGGTGAGTATGTACCAGTATGTTTACTGGTGAGGATGTACCAGTATGTTTAATGGTGAGGATGGACCAGTATGTTTACTGGTGAGGATGTACCAGTATGTTTACTGGTGTGGATAGACCAGTATGTTTACTGGTGAGGATGTACCAGTATGTTTACTGGTGAGGATGAACCAGTATGTTTACTGGTGAGTATGGACCAGTATGTTTACTGGTGAGTATGGACCAGTATGTTTACTGGTGAGGATGGACCAGTATGTTTACTGGTGAGGATGGACCAGTATGTTTACTGGTGAGGATGTACCAGTATGGTTACTGGTGAGGATGGACCAGTATGTTTACTGGTGAGGATGTACCAGTATGTTTGCTGGTGAGGATGTACCAGCATGTTTACTGGTGAGGATGTACCAGTATGTTTACTGGTGAGGATGGACCAGTATGTTTACTGGAGAGTATGGACCAGTATGGCTACTGGTGAGGATGGACCAGTATGTTTACTGGTGAGGATGGACCAGTATGTTTACTGGTTAGGATGGACCAGTTGCTTTACTGGTGAGGATGGACCAGTATGTTTACTGATGACGATGGACCAGTATGTTTACTGGTGAGGATGTACCAATATGGTTACTGGTGAGGACGGACCAGTATGTTTACTGGTGAGAATGTACCAGTATGTTTACTGGTGAGGATGGACCAGTATGTTTACTGGTGAGGATGGACCAGTATGTTTACTGTTGAGGATGGACCAGTATGGTTACTGGTGAGGTGTAACCAGTATTTACTGGTGAGGAGTATCCGTATGGTTACTGTTGAGGATGTGACCAGTATGTTTACTGGTGAGATGGACTAGTATGTTGTATCTGGGAGGATGTTGACCAGTATGTTACTTGTGAGGAGTGTACCAGTATGTTTACTGGTGAGGATGTACCAGTAATGTTACTGGTGAGATGGACCTTGTTTTACTGGTGAGGATGACCAGTATGTTTACGGTGGAGGATGGACCAGTATGTTTACTGGTGAGGATGGACAGTATGGTTTACTGGTGAGGATGTACCAGTACTGTTTACTGGTGAGGATGACCAGTATGTTTACTATGAGGATGGGAACCAGTATGGCTACTGTGAGGTTGTACCAGTATGTTACTGGTGAGGATGGACAGTATGGTTACTGGTGAGGATGACCAGTATGTTTACTGGTGAGGACTGGTAGAGGTTATTATGGTGGAGATGTACCAGTATTACTGGTGAGGATGACGTAATGTTACTGGAGAGGATGGACCAGTATGGTTACGGTAAGGATGACCAGTAGTTTACTGGTAGGAAAGGACCATGTATGTTTTCTGGTGAGGATGGACTAGTATGGTTACTGTGAGGATGGACCAGTATGTTTACTGGTGAGGAGTGATCCAGTATGTTTACTGTGAGGATGGACCTGTATGTTTCTGGGTGGATGGACCATGTATGTGTTACTGTGAGGATGTACCAGTCATGTTTACTGGTTGAGATGGACCAGTATGTTACTGGTGAGGATGGACCAGTATGTTTACTGTGAGAGTATACCTAGGTTTACTGGTGAGGATGACCAGTATGTTACTGGTGAGTGACCAGTATATTTACTGGTGAGGATGGACCAGTATGTTTTCTGGTGAGGATGAATTATGTTTACTGTGAGGATGGACTAGTAGTTTACTGAAGTTAGATGGATTGATCATTATTTTTACTGGCAGGTTTGACCCACCGTCACCTCGTCTAGCGTAAGGAGCAGAGCCACTAGGGTTCACTGCGTTAGGATATTGTACTTATTTATTTTCAAGAGGGAGAGATTGCAGACTAGTTTGATTACTAGTGAGGTTTAGGTACCAGATATGTGTTAACTGGTGAGATGGTCATGTTTACTGGGGAGGGTATGGTTTTTGGTGATGGAATATGTATGTACGGGAATGTTTTTAAATGTTTGATGGAAATGGAAGGTATGGTTATGGGGATGGGAGGTTACTGAGATTACCAAAGGTTATGGTGAGGATGTCCTGTTTTGGGGGATGTTTAAATTCGGTGTGGGAAGCGAATTTTTTTAGGGTTTCTTGTTAGTGGGGGAGGACCGTTGTTTTTTGGTGAGGGGTGGAAGTATTTTGGGGGAAATGACCATTTTGTTTACTGGTGATGGTGTAAGGGACTGGGGGGTTTGGAAAGGGAAAAAAGGGGGACCTTGAAAAAAAAATTTTTTGTGGGGTGGTTTAGGAAAAAAGTTTTTACATTGTCAAAAAAAGGACCCCTTTGTTTGAGGGCCCTAAATCCCGGTGACCCTTGGTGTTCTAGGGTTTAAATTTCTGGAGGGGGAAGTTTGGGACTGTTTTTAAACAATGGTATTTTTCCTTACCAGTTATTTTAAATACAGTGTTCCCCTTGGGGGAAAAATTTTGGGGGTAAATTTAAAATTTTTTGGGGGGGGATTGGGGGGTGAAGAAAAAAAGTTTTAAAAGGGGGGAAAAAAAAAACATGGTTTGGTAGGGAAAATTTTTGTTAAAATTTTTTTAGATATAAAGTTGTAAGTAAAACCAATGTGAAAAATTTAAACCAAAAAAATAAAATCCCAATTTAAAAAAAAGGAAAAATTTTGGGGAACCCAAATTTTTGCAAGGTTAACAAAAGTACTCATTTTGCCCGTCCCTTTCCCGGGGGATATTCCGAGGGCCCCCAAACCCTGGGTTTTCGTACACACCAGGTAAAAAAAGTGGTTTAAAAAGGGGATTCCCTGGGGTAATTTAATTTTTGTTTTGGAATTTTTACAAAAAAATTTTTTTAAATTAAAGGTGGTTTTAATTTTTTGGTTTTTTCTAGGATTAAGGTAAAAACCCTTTTAAGTTACGTTTAAAAAATTCAATAAAAAAAAAATTTTGTGAAAGGGGTAACATGCTTTATGTGGCATGTTAAATTGGGTAACAAGCTGAAAAAGTTTGGGAACCACTGAACTAGGGTATATTCCATTGCGATCTGTGTTGTCTGTGAATTGTATTGAAATCTTTGTGCATATGTAAATATTGTACATAGTGATTTAGTAAATGATGAATATACATTACACAACTTGTTTCCTTGTTGAATGATATTTGTGATAGTGTTACAAGTCGTTGCTTATAATACAAGCCAGTTATGTAGGCCTACAACACAAGTAATGAAATTCATGACATTGAAGGTTATCCTTACGGTGATTAATGGACCTTGGTATCGGTTCTAATTGTTGTGTTGTTGCTGTGAAAGGGAAGATCATCACTGACTTTTGTAGGATATGCCAGGTATGTGACTATGCAATATTTTCTGAAGGGTAACTACCACATACTCCAAAATCGAAGATCTCTCTGCATTAGGTGCACCAGAGTATCACTGCCAATACTGTGCAACTCCATTAAGAACGCAGAATGCACCAGCCATATTCCTACACCTAATTCACAATGTCATAGAAAGGAGGTAGGGACTTGAATCCTATTTTCATGCCCAGGAAAGTGTTGCTGGCTTCTGTAATGAATATGTGCAGATATTAGAGTTTTTTTTTATATATATTACAGATGGATAATTGTAAATATCTCTAAATCAAAATTCTGAAAATCATCAAAAATCTTTTTGATCACTTAATGGGACAGGAAATATTGGTATATAGAAATGTTAAAATTCACTCATTTCTAGATTTTAAACCATGCCACGATAAAAAAAATATCAGGAATTGTGCCATAATTTCCGATACTGCAGCCCAGTTAACTTCCCTTACTGTGGCATGTGCTAGGTGCAGCTTTGCAATTGAACTGCATCACACATAACCACATTCCTGCACATCATCTTAAGCTGGCACAATATGTGTAGAGGGTCATTGTCTGCCTAGATGTGTGCAGCATCTACACCCAGGAGGCTGCGTACTTATCTCAGGATGAGGGAGAGGGACCCAGGTGAAGCTATCGTACATGCGAAGGTGGTGGGAATAAATGTTAATCCTAAACTACCTTCTGATGTATAATTTATTCTCTCTGTCTACTGACTGTGCTATGAGCTTGTGTCTAACACAGTGAAGTACTGATGGCCCCCTTGAAAGAAACTGTGTTCCTGATACCAGTAAGAAAATATAGTCCATGTGGTCAGTTGTCAGGAAGATATTACGAAGATAGAGGCTGTTGTGTGTAGCTCCAGCACTCACGTCGCCGGATTATGCAAAGCAGTTTGCATTGCAGGTTCTTGCAATAATGGAGCCCCATTATTGCAAGAATCAGACGATGGTGTCTTTCACCTGGTGTCATTCTTATTACCAAAACTTAAGAAGCACCAACAGGTATTTACTAATATTAAGGAAGCATTGGTTCTAGTATTATCAGTAGAGCACTACCAAGTTAACCTCTCATCCATACTGTATACAAGTCAACAGTAACCACATTTGTTCACCTTAGCTTATAGAACAAATTTTTTGTACGCATTGAGCATTTTGCCAGAAGCTATGTATTTTTCATATTTTTCAATGGATGATACATTGTGCTTCTACAAGCAGTGTCTTAGACCTTTGTAAGCCATACTATCCATTGCCTGGTTAGCTCTACTATCCATTATGGTTAATTTTACTATCCATTTTCTGATTAGCTCCACTATCCATTTTCTGGATAGCTCTACTATCCATTTTTGGTATTTATTATTATTATTTTTTTTTACGCAGATCGCTTACATAGGTTAAGAGCTGTTATCGTACCTCAGCTCATTTCAAAGCCCCAGGATGCCACCCACACCAGTCGACTAACACCCCGGTACCTACTTACTACTAGGTGAACAGGACAGCAGGTGTAAGGAATCATGTTCAATGTTTCCACCTGTGCCTAGGATCGAACCACGAACAGTTAGTATAGGAGGTGAGTACGCTACCAAACGAGCCACATAGAATGACGTCTGTAGGTGTGTCATTTTATATGTATCTCCTGTAAATCATTGTCAACTGAGGGAAAGAGGAAGACAATTTCACTATCTTTTATGTTTATGCAATGGAGACATCTTACTCTGTTGTGGGAACCAATGGAATAACAGAGCTCTGAGTGTGGTGGTGTAGTGCGTGTGTGTAGAGTATGTTATATATTTTTATCACCCTAAAGGTCATCCACAAATACTCTTCTATCTATACCAGCTGTAAGTATAGAAAATCAAAGACAGTTAGTGGTGGAATGCAGCCCTAGATCTTCTAGTGGCCATTAGATGTGCTATGGTGCTTTGACTTGTCACTCGATCACCTTGTATATGGGAAGTGTTCTAGCTAACTTACAATGCCAGGCCACCAGCTTGTGAATATTCCATTGTGTTATGAGTGACGTAGAGTAGGTGCTTACGTTGATGTATCTGTTATGAATAATGGAAGTACTTACGTTGATGTAAATGTTATGACTGAGGTACTTACGTTAAGGTGTCTGTTGTAGGTAAGGGAGAAGCGGTCGTCCTTGCTGTAGGTCTGGCGACCCACCGTAATGATGTGGTGGTCCCGAAGTCTGATCCATGACACCTGCAAGAAACACAATGTCACAAGTGAGTGAAGTCACACCCGAGTGAATTCACACCTGAGTGAAGTCACACCTGAGTGAAGTCACACCTGAGTGAAGTCACACCTGAGTGAAGTCACACCTGAGTGAAGCCACACCAGTTGTAGGTATCATGGCCTCTTGCTACAGAAGATATCTACCACAGCCTGTCTGCTAACCTATGACCCAACACTTAGGCAAGACCTGCTTCCACTAGTGGGCCCCACCCACTGACAACGATGCCTTCAACAGCAAGACAAAGGCAGTGAACACCTTCAAGGCTGAGGAACTAATTGCTTCATCTACTGTCTCCAGTTTCAACACCAAGGCTACAGTTAATAAGCGGTACATGTGTCTAATTCAACAAACAGGGATATAACTGACTGAGAATCTCCACAGTCTGAAAAAAAAAAAATGCCACACAGAACATCATATCGTTCAGAAATGTTTCTTCTTGAATGAACAATACTGCGAGTGACATTACCAGTCCGTCTCTACCCACCTCTCTCCAGTATACATATATAGTCCCCAGTATCCTCATACTGGAGACTATTCTCCTGTTAACCATTTCTGTGAGAATCCCTAAAGTCCTGATGGATGGAACGTCTTCTGAGTAAAATGTCTTAACCCGCATTTTGTGTCTTCTTAACGTACTCGTCGTTATTAGACCATTGATATATACGTACGCATGTTATTGGAAGGAGTGTAATATGAAAAATTGCTGCTTTAATTAACACGTTTGGTCCCACGCACGTTCAGTTACAAGTGACAGCACAAAACAAAGGTTCCTCCATCTCTCGCCTCGCGAGCGAAACAGGTGCCTAATGAATGAAGGTACAGAAAGGTACCTAATGAATGAAGCTACAGAAAGGGAGGAGAGTGATTTTTTGTATAGCAAACATTCATGTACCTATTACTGTGAGCTGATCCTCCCTTTAATGTTAATGTAAATAGCTCACTTTACCTTATTCCTAGTACACTTCCTTCACTGTAATTGATTTTAACCTTTAAAGTTTAAATAATAAGATATTACAAGGACCCCAATGAAAATAAGTCACTTTGACTTTTTTGGTTATCCTGGTGGGTAATTTACACATATGTTGCCATGCATGATAACTGTGCTTATGTGTACCTGTGGCTGAATAAACTTACCTCGAGGGTCACAGGCGATGCCACAAATTAGCTTTAACTAGAAGTGCTGATGTGAAATTGTTATTGGCTAATAAAACACGATATGCGGTTTATGAGGATTTATTGAGCTTTAATAAAGTTTCAGGTGGACGAAGCGTCACCACAATAAAACCCCATCAACTGCATATTGTCAAATCTTTACAACATAATTGTGCATATATAACTGTGAGGGAAAAGTTCATTAAATAAGGGTGGAAGACTGAATGACTGGTGGAGGAGGTATGACTGGTAGTATGACTGTTTAGAAAGGGGTATGTGAGCAGTTACCTTACCCACCCCCTCACCCATCGGGTGAGAGGCAACAAGGGATCCTAGTGGACTGAGTAGTGTCACTTGGCTTCCTGCTCTCATCAAGTCTGTAAATATAGAGCTCCACTCTTGAATATTTAATGTTTAGTTATCTTTCTTAATTCAATAAACAAGAGTTATACTTTTGTTAGGATTTTTAAGTTTTATCCAGACTTCGATACAGTTACGCTTATAATGTAATATTTAGTCATCATCATTTCTTTTAAAAGTCTTCAGCCTATCATGTGAATGACTCCTGGTGTCAGCCCGCACTGTGCTACTCTGAGGAATTACCCCTTACTCCTTTGGTTGCTGCCTTGCAACTTTGCATAGCTCCTGATGATGCATTGAGAAGTGTGAAAGTACCTGAGCTAAAGCTTTCCACCCCCCATGGAATGTCTTGCATTGTTAAGATCGCCTGTCTGTGAGGATTGTTCCAGGAACAATGACTGGTGCTGGAACTAAAGGGACGATGCTGAAGCTGAAGAAGGTCCAGGAGACTGCTGTGAAAACCATTAACTCTTATTCCTTGTTATCAGACGAATGTGAATCGACCTTCCAAGACCTTCCAATAAAGATAATTTCAATGAGGGCTAGTGTTAACCACACAGTGAAACCAGCCAGTGAAGATATCCCTGCGAAGACCATCTTTACAAAGAAAGTCGAGAATGTCAGGAATGTAGAAACATTGTTTTAGTTGGGGACAGTCAGGTCAGGTTTATGGATATGGCATTATGTCTTAGAGGTAGGAAGAGAAAGAAGAGGGTGTGTTTCCCTAGGTCTGGGAGGGAGAATATTGTTAGCTGCCTGCACATCATAAGACGTAATGGGAACAATCTTATTATCTGTCTCAGTGCTGGAGGCAACAATGTTGGCAGACGTAGGAGTGAGGTCCTGATTAGCAGAAACAGATCAGTGATACACATAATTAGGAAGAAGGGAGGGTACCCTGTGATATATGGCATTTTGCCAAGGAGAGGAGTTGGAAATATATGGTTGTCCAGGGCAACTGATGTCAATTGCTGCCTGGACAAGCACTGCAAGGAAAATGCACTAATGTTCATAGACAACTGGGACCTCTTCTATGACAGAAATGGCATGTATACCAGAGATGGGATTCACTTGTTTAGGCCTGGGGTGGGGGCCCTGGCCAATGCAGTGGAGGGAGTTGTTAGGGCTTTAAACTAAAAAATAGTGGTATGGCTTTTTGTGGGAAAGAACTGAAATCTCACTGTAGTGATATTAAGAATTTTATGGAAACCAGTTATAGGCAGAATGAAGTAGACTTATTGGTTGATATTGGAAAGTCAGTGGCACTGGGTGAAAAGTACAGTAATAGAGATAGTGGAAGAACAGAAATGAGCAGGAAGGGAAAAAAGAAGGGTTTCTAAATCAGGTCCTCACTCCTACGTCTGCCAACATCGTTGCCTCCCACATTGAGACAGATAATAGGATTGTTCTCATTACCTCTCATAATAATGTCGAGACGTCTAACAATATCCTCCATCCCAGTCCCAGGAAAACATACCCTCTGCCTCCTCTTCCTGTCTCTAAGACAAAAGGTCCTATCCATAAACTTGACTATTCTCAACTAAAACAATGTTCTTACCGTCACTGACGGTGATTGTCATGACGTTCTCAACAGTGTTTGTTGGGATGCTCTTCAATGGGATGGTCTTCGCTGGGGTGTCTAGGGTCAACTCACACTCCTGTGCCGATGCTGAGAAGGTATTTCTGGCCCCCACAGTAGTCTCCTGGACCTTTCTTAGCTTCAGCTTTGTTCCGTCCTTTCCAACCATCCAGTCATTGGTTTGATCATTTACACAGCGGCTCACGACAATGTTGTTCCGAGGATAATTATTGCATATTCCCTTCAGTCGTTGAATCTCTCTTCTAGCTTCCATTAATTAACTCTTCCTTAAGCTGAAGATATAGCTGCACGTAGTCGAGGGAAGCCATCATCACACTCTCAGTAAGCTAGGAACGCAGAGCATGCTAGAAATGTGCTCACAGGAGCGAGGTCAACATCCACAGTAAGATCACAGTAAACAGGTGATACCACAATATGCAGAACAACAACTGTGAACAAATAGTGAACTTCCAAGTGCTTTCGTGATTTCTCACATTATCAAGAAATTGTAAAATAAGAAGATCAGCAGAAGGCTTATAAGGACGAGACTTCACCTCACGATCAACTTACAGCTCAACCTTTATGATGATGTAGGTCAGGTGGTCAGGGACCTGGCAGACACACTTACATTCTACCCAAGCTTTAAGAGATTAACTTGTCGAATATATCTCAATGTCTTCCCAAATTTTATTAATTATAAATGACTCCAATTTGTATAATCCTACAGCAATATTCATATTAATTTCAAAACTATTTTTTGATGAACCTTGATTCTATTATATATCTCTCAACCATGGATCTGTTTGACATAACTTTCTCGGCTTTTTGAAAATTAATTGGATGGTTAAAATCTCTCAAATGAATAAACAGAGCATTAGACTCTTGTCCACTTCTAATGCTATATTTATGTTATTGAAATCTTAGTTCAACACTTTTTTCAGTTTGACCATTATAAACTTTATCACATTTTTTTTTTTACCCGGAATCTTGTAGATACATCAATCAGCATTTTTAAGGGAATTTTTTTTACTGTATCAAGATTTTTAAATACAACTTTGATATTGAAATTCTTAAGTAAAGAAGGAATATCAAGAAAGTTTTCATGGTGAGGGAGAACCAAAATATTTTTAGTTGAATAAGGTTGTTTATCCTCATTTGAATTGTAAAAAGTATTTCTAGCAATTTTAAAAGATTTATCAATTAAGAATTTTGGTTAATTTAGATCATTAGCTATTTTATAAATTTTCAAAATTTCTTCGTCTATGAACTCTGGGCTGCAAATAGGTAAAGCTCTCGAAAACATTGATGAGAATACAGTAAGTTTAACTCTATCATGATGTGAAGAATAATAGTGCATATAAAAAGTTATTTCTTGGTTTTCTGTAAATTTTAAATTTCAAGTCGTGGTTCCCCTTAATAATTAAAACGTATAGAAAATACAATAAGTTATTTTGTTCAAGCTCAACAGTAAAATTTATTGAATGAGCTAGACTATTTAATTTAACAACGATTAAAGGTTTATATCTGTATTCTTAAGCATTAGATATAAACCATCAACATATCTGTACTACCACTTATCCTTATTAGGAAGGAATTTGTTTGTTAAGCATATATATATATATATATATATATATATATATATATATATAAAATATATATATATGTATGTATATAATTACTTATTGTATTGTGTGGAAGATACTCACTGTTTCATGGTCTGCCCTGTTGATGATGACACAAGGAAGGTTGGCAGTTGTACCTGCCTGGACGTTCACTACACTGCCGTTCACACCTCTGGTGGTGACTCAGTATTAGTACATTCCTCCTGCACCTGTTGAAACTTTATTAAATGCTTCATTTAGCTCTGATTGTAAACTAATTCAGAGAGTCTCCTGTACAAAATGTTAACTTCTACTGTTTCCCAGATTGCATAGTGTTAGAAGATTTATTGGATAAATCTTAAAATTAACCAGGAAGCCTTTCGAGTATTTTTCTTCTACCGCTAGACGACACTACTGAAGACAAGTATCAAACCATTGTTCACCATTGTTCACTGAAGACAAGTGTCAAACCATTGTTCAAAATGAGTGAATAAATGGATGAGAGGTAACGGAAAATGTCATGAAGAGCTCTGAGCACAACATCACTTTTAACTGAATTAAAAGGATGTGGAAGGTCCAGTTTTATCAGAGATTTTGTGCAACCGAGGTCAGTGATACATGCAAGAACTGCATGACTCACAAAATCGTAATAACACGGCAGAAAACAAACCACGGTACGGATGGGGTTAGTACTCATGGCAAGTGAGTCGTAACACTCCAGGCCAGTGCGTAAGCCACTGGGCCAGCTGGCTATAATAAGATTCATCCAACTAAGTATATTTATGTACCATATTTATACACATGCATTTGTGGCCACAGACGGGTCCTTGCTAACCTTCTTATGATGTATAAATATACCTAGTTGGATGACTCTTATTGTAGCCAGCTGGCCCAGTGGCTTACACGCTGGCCTGCAGTTTTACGACTCACTTGCCATGAGTTCTAACCCCACCTGTATCATGGTCTGGTTTAAGAACTGCATGAGTTGTTGTTTTAAATATTTGTGAAATCCCAAACCTTGTGTGTGTGTGTGTGTGTGTGTGTGTGTGTGTGTGTGTGTGTGTGTGTACTCACCTAGTTGTACTCACCTAGTTGAGGTTGCGGGGGTCGAGTCCGAGCTCCTGGCCCCGCCTCTTCACTGATCGCTACTAGGTCACTCTCCCTGAGCCGTGAGCTTTATCATACCTCTGCTTAAAGCTATGTATGGATCCTGCCTCCACTACATCGCTTCCCAAACTATTCCACTTACTGACTACTCTGTGGCTGAAGAAATACTTCCTAACATCCCTGTGATTCATCTGTGTCTTCAGCTTCCAACTGTGCCCCCTTGTTACTGTGTCCAGTCTCTGGAACATCCTGTCTTTGTCCACCTTGTCAATTCCTCTCAGTATTTTGTATGTCGTTATCATGTCCCCCCTATCTCTCCTGTCCTCCAGTGTCGTCAGGTTGATTTCCCTTAACCTCTCCTCGTAGGACATACCTCTTAGCTCTGGGACTAGTCTTGTTGCAAACCTTTGCACTTTCTCTAGTTTATTCACGTGCTTGGCTAGGTGTGGGTTCCAAACTGGTGCCGCATACTCCAATATGGGCCTAACGTACACGGTGTACAGGGTCCTGAATGATTCCTTATTAAGATGTCGGAATGCTGTTCTGAGGTTTGCTAGGCGCCCATATGCTGCAGCAGTTATTTGGTTGATGTGCACTTCAGGAGATGTGCCTGGTGTTATACTCACCCCAAGATCTTTTTTCTTGAGTGAGGTTTGTAGTCTCTGACCCCCTAGACTGTACTCCGTCTGCGGCCTTCTTTGCCCTTCCCCAATCTTCATGACTTTGCACTTGGTGGGATTGAACTCCAGGAGCCAATTGCTGGACCAGGTCTGCAGCCTGTCCAGATCCCTTTGTAGTTCTGCCTGGTCTTCGATCGAGTGAATTCTTCTCATCAACTTCACGTCATCTGCAAACAGGGACACCTCAGAGTCTATTCCTTCCGTCATGTCGTTCACAAATACCAGAAACAGCACTGGTCCTAGGACTGACCCCTGCGGGACCCCGCTGGTCACAGGTGCCCACTCTGACACCTCGCCACGTACCATGACTCGCTGCTGTCTTCCTGACAAGTATTCCCTGATCCATTGTAGTGCCTTCCCTGTTATCCCTGCTTGGTCCTCCAGTTTTTGCACCAATCTCTTGTGTGGAACTGTGTCAAACGCCTTCTTGCAGTCCAAGAAAATGCAATCCACCCACCCCTCTCTCTCTCTTGTCTTACTGCTGTCTTACTGCTTGTCTTACTGTGTGTGTGTGTGTGTGTGTGTGTGTGTGTGTGTGTGTGTGTGTGTGTGTGTGTGTGTGTGTGTGTGTGTGTGCGTGTGTGTGTACTCATTTATTTATACGGACTAACCTATTTGTGGTTACAAGGGTCGATCACAGCTAGTGGCCTAATCTCTTTGCTGATCGATATTAGGTCCAGTCTCTCCCTGCTATAAGAGCCTTACCATATCTCTTATAAGGCTATGCATGGATCCTGTGTCCACTACTTGACACTTCCTGACAACTGTTCCACTTCCTGACAACTCTTTGACTAAAGAAATACTTCCTGACATCCTTGTGGCTCATCTGAGTTTCCAACTTTCAGTTGTGACCCCTCGTTCCTGTGTCCCATCTCTGAAACACTTTGTCCCTTTCCACCGAGTGAATTCATCTCAGTATTTTATACGCCGTTACCATATTTTTCCTATCCCTCCAGTCCTCCAGTGTCGTCAGGTTGATTTCCCTTAACCTCTCCTCGTAAGACTTACCTTCTCTAGCTCCGGGACTAGTCTTGTTGCCAACCTTTGCATTTTCTCGGAATTTCTTTTTTGATCAGGTGTGGGTTCAATACTGGTGCTGCATACTCCAATATGGGCTTGACATACATGGTGTACAGTGTCTTGAATAACTCCTTACTTAGGTGTCAAAACGCTCTTCTTAGGTTTGCCAGGTGCCCATATGCTGCAGCCTCAGGCGATGTACTCCGTATGATACTCACCCCAAGATCCCTTTTCTTGAGTGAGATTTGCAACCTTTGACCTCCCGACCCCTAGAATGTGCTCTGTCTGCGGTCTTCTTTGATCTTCTGTAAGCTTCATGACTTTGCACTTAGTGGGGTTAAACTCCAGAGACCAGTGGCTGGACCAGGTTTGCAACCTGCCCAGATCTCTTTGTAGTCCTATCTGATCCTCGTCCACTTGAATTTTCATCATTAACTTTACATCGTCTGCGAACAGGGACACCTATGAGTCTGTCCTTCTGTCATTTCATTCACATATACCAGAAACAGCACTGGCCCTAGGACTGACCCTAGTGGAACTCCGCTCGCCACATGCACCCATTCTAACATCTCGTCATGTACCATTACTCGTTGTTTCCTTCTTGTCAGTTATTCTCTGATCAATTGCAATGCCTTTCCTGGTATTCCCGTCTGCACCTCAAGCTTTTTCAATAGTCTCTTATGCAGAACTGTGTCGAAATCCTTCTTACAATCCATAAAAATAGTCTACCCACCCCTTTCTCTCCTGCCTTGCTTCTGTCACTTTGTTGTAAAACTCCAGTAGGTATGTGACACAGAATTTTCTCTCTGAAACCATGCTGGTTATCGTGTATAAGCTCATTTCTTTCTAGGTGCTCCACCAGTTTTTCCCTGATAATCTTGATTATCATAACTTTACATACTATACATGTCAGTGACACTGGCCTGTAGTTTAATGCTGTCTTGTCTGCCCCCTTCTTAAAAACTACATGTGTGCGAGCAAGTAAGAACATAAGAACATAAGAAAGGAGGAACACTGCAGTAGGCCTGTTGGCCCATACTAGGCAGGTCCTTCACAATCCATCCCACTAACAAAATATTTGCCCAACCCAATTTTCAATGCTACCCAAAAAATAAGCTTTTATAATTCTATTTACCCATGTGCAAGTCCCACTCAAATCCAACCCCTCTCACTCATGTATTTATCCAACCCAAATTTGAAATTACCCTGTGTGTGAGTGTGTACTCACCTATATGTGGTTGTAGTTGTCGAGTCATAGCTTCTGTGTGTATGTGACTGCATACTCACCTATTTGTGGTTGCAGGGGTCGATTCACAGCTCATGGCACCGCCTCTCTGCTGGTCGCTTCTAGGTTCCCTCTGTCCCTGTTCAATGAGCCTTATCGTACCTCTTAAAGTTATGAATGGATCTTGCCTCCACTACATGCTGATGAACATTGATGGTTCTGAAATATACTGATGGCACTGACGTATACTGATGGATCTAAAGTATACAAGTGGTCTTGAAGTATATTAATGGTTCTGAAGCACACTGATGGAGTATTATTATGGTTGTGAGGTATGCTGATGGAGTCTTCTCATGGTTCTGGTGTGGTGCTCCTCTAGTTACAGGTTGTTAATGGTGTAATATTGTTAAGTAACTGTGACGGTCATAGACGATGCTTGGCGGAAGTGCTTCCTCAAGTGAGTGACTCCAGAGCTACTTATATACTGCTTAACAGTATTTCTTATATGTGCTGTTAGCAGGCTGAAGAATCTTGGTGCCAGAATGTTGATACAGCGATCTCTTACTAGCCTATAGTACCCCTGCTTTAAACTGGGTGTTTCAGGTATTTTTGTTTTCTTTGTTCCATAGAGCATATTCCAAGTTCTTTAAGGCATTCCCAGTAGTTTTAGGGATGTATTGGCTACAAGCGGGAAGAAAAGATTTGTGTTCATTTTCCAGCTCTGATAGCTCTCCCGCTTTGTGTGGAGCCATCAACACTGAATAGTATTCTACACGAGAGGCTAAAGTGGCTTAGTGTCGCGGCATTAACTGTCTTGATGAAGACTTAGACAAATGTGCAACATCTGGGTATCTTTAATTTATAGACGTTTCGCCATCCAGTGGCTTTATCAATACAAAGATATAATATGAAGACCGTAGAAATGTGTACAAAAGACGAAACATTGAGTCCCTCAGCCTAGGAGTAGTTAATGAGCACTGTAGTCTTGAATTATCTATTGTTTCATAAGCTCTCAGTATTACACTCTGTTATTTCACCGGCTTTGGTACAGTTCTCAAAGTGATTAAGAGTCATCCGACATTATTATTCCCAAGTCTTTTACGCATATCTTTCACTGTAGGAAGTGGTACTCCTCTGTGTTTTGTATCCAGTGCTTCTTTGCAGGTCTTCATTCTTTTCATAATAAAACAGTTGTAATATATCGCCATTAGTTTTTATTGCTGCTGGAAAGCTTTGTTAGTATGTATTTGTAAATTTTTCGTTTCTTTTACAGTGGCGACTTTCATGATTATTTTGGTATTGAGAGAAAAAGTTCACAAATGCATAGTTTTGTGTGTGTGATTGACCCAGTGTTATGTGAATTGTGTGCAGACTCACTTGTTTCTTAGTTATGAGAATGAGACACTTGTGTGGCATTTGGTAATCTTTATTGTGAAAACGTTTCGCCAACCAACTGGCTTCTTCAGTCCAATACGAAGAACAATGGAAGATGTAGACTTCAGCGCCACCTGCCAGCCATTCTAAACACTGCTCATTGGGTTGGCAGGCGAGCTTAGCTTCCTGACAGTTGTAAATATTCCTCAGGGCGTTTTTGCTTCATCATAGTACTTGTTTAGTATTTCTTGCAGCTGCTACTCGTCTTGATTTTGTGGTACCTTGATTTCAAGGTTGTCTTGGAAATTCTTCTGCCTCTTGTCTTGATGGTAACTGTTGTTGGTATCTTCACCACGAGTGTTTTGAGCAAGCCACCGGATTCCTGGAAGAGCGTAATGGGATGCTTTGGTAAGAAATCTATGTTTATTCTGCGCCACTTGCGTTTACTTGACTGTAAAAGTCATTTCTCCTTAAATTTGCGATTTTCTCGTTGCTTCATCTCTTTTAACTCTCCATTTCCTTGAACCACAGAGACCTCTGTCTCCTGGGTTCACTTTTTTAACCCGTGGGAGGGTTAAGCACCCACTATAACCAAAAACAGCCAGTGAGTCATCAAGGACTGTCTTATTGCCATTATGGTATTTCTATCTTGTCCCCCAGAATGCCCCACACACCTGTTCACTGACACCCAGGTACCTACCAACTGCTAGGAGAATAGGGGTAGTAGGTGTAAGAAAATATCTCATCGTTTCCACCCATACCGGGGATTGAGCCACGGACACTCATTATGTGAGGGAAGTGCTTTGCTAACTGAACCACGGGACACTAAGACTTAAGCCATTGTTTTACTGCCTTTCACTTATTATTAACATGAGTTGTTCTTTAGGGCTCATGATTATTCTTCCATGGATGTAACAATCTCTGTCTTCAGTACGAGGTGCTTGACTCTTCTGTGTCTATCCTCGCGTCTCTACCGGTGACTATACAAGTCATAGTGGATCATAGCCATACTTAACGTTAATAATTCGTGAATAAATAGAAAGATGGACGGGAGGCTCGAACCGTGGTTTCAAGATTAACAGTATACTCTCCAGGTAGGCAGTCCTGAGATTACCACCGTCACATAAACTACTGGCTACACAGTTATGAGGTAATGCTTAAAGTCACCCAGTAGCAGGACTTACCTAGCGACGGTGTCTGCATACATCTCTCGCTTCATTCCATACATGGCTACATCCTGACGACCCTCTGTTTAACTCAGGTCGTTAGGTAAAAGGGCACAAATGCAATAAATGTGACTTTTTATTGTGGCAACGTTTCACTCTCCAGGAGTTTTGTCAAGCCATCAGAGTTCCAGGAGAGAGAAACGTTGTCACAATAATATGTCACATTAGTTGCGTCTGTCATTTTACCTAACATTTTGTAGGTAATTCTGCCATTATTACTAACTCAAGCTGCACAGTAATAGTGGGGTTGTAAAAATACGATTGAAAATAAACCAGGGTACTGGTGGGGCTAGAACCCATGGCTACAGTCACGCTGGCAGGAGATTCATCTGTAAACACTTGCATTTGTGGTCACAGTGGTGGTCCATGCCAACCTGCCTATAGTGTATAAATATACCTAGTTGGTCCAGTGGCTTATGCATTGGCCTGGAATTTTACGAGTCACTCTCCATGGGTTCAAACCTCACCCGTTCCGTGGTTTATAGTAGGGTTTATAAAGCGGATAATTACTTACCTAAACACTGCGTTGGTGACCCTGATAGTGGGCTCTTCTTCCCAAGGACCTACTAGGAGGGAAGGATTCTTAAGACCTTCAGGATTATCAGGGATGGCTGGGTCCCTGGTGGTGACATCGTCGAAGTCCAGCCGAGGTCTAGCTGTCCATGTTCTCTGTGGCTGCTGCTTCTGGTATGACTGATACGGATCATGCAGCTGTTGGTACGGCTGCTGAGACTGTTGGTACGGCTTCGGCAACTGCTGGTAGAGCGGCTGCTCGTCCCCTAACCCTCGGGACTTGGACAGCACATAAGAATCTTCCGCCGGAGGTTGATGGTAAACTGATAACGATGATGAATTTGTAACTTGGATGGCTGCTGCAGGGTTGGAGAACGACACCCTGAACCTGGGCGAGTCTTGAAGGACGTCAGAGATTCGGATGGGAGGAGGTCGATGAAACAGCTCTTGCTGGTGTCGAACCCTGAAAGCCGAGCCTGCGAGACAAGATACCCTGGTGAATATTACAACACCTAAACGCTGGATACACATCAATTCTATTCTTAAACTGCTAAAATTTTTCTTGACATCTCTCATCCTCTGGGACTTGTGTGGGGAAAACAATGTGAATACATTTACTTTGGACATTTATTGAAGACGTTTCGGTCCTTGGAAGTTGATCACCTCAAATAAATGTCCATTTCTCCTAAAGTTGTCGGCAGTCATTTCACTTCTTACTATAGTACATTGCTGGGGCTCTATAAAGGACAGCGGTTTCAATACCATACAACCTGAGAACCACTAATCACCAGTCACATATATCTCTACCATACTTCAGTACCATATTGTATTGAGGATTTATATCTTCAGTGCAATAAATCCTCACGGTCGTGTATCACACTACCACACAATCTCAGCAACATATATCAGTACCACTCATTAGCACTATATAACCCTAATGCCTTACAGCCACTATCTCATAACAATCCTGAAGAATGAAAAGCCACAGTATTGTGACTGGAACGATACATGACTAACCCGTAAATAGAGAGGAACTCAAGACGACGTGTCGGTCAGATTGGCTCCCTTCCCTTCGCACTTCTGTGTGACTAGTTAATGGCCCAAGTCGGACCGAAATACCGTCAATAATTTTATTTCTCCTATATACGGGTTATTTGTGTATAACGATTATAAGATTTATCATTCTCAAAATATACAGTTTTGCAATTGCTGTCAGTTGAGGCTGATACTTCAGCACAATCTTAGTACCAAAGTTAAATCACAGCGATCACAGCAGTGTCTGTGAAATATAATTCACACAATTGAAAAATTATAACTTTAGCATTTACACAATTACCTGGTCTCTTAATGTGAGTTTTGTCTCAGAAATCATAAGTAACAGAAACAAGATCACAATTAATCCGACTGTTATTAAGCACCGGGCTTACCTTCCAAAAAAAAAAAATCATGAAAGCAAATTTGAGAAAGAAACAAATAGACACTGGAAAGATTGGCAAATGATTGAATGAGATGATGAAACGAGATTGAATGAAATCTTCATGTACGACATTTCGCCTAAGCAGTGGGCCTTATCGAGCTACAAACATAATCCGATAAGAGAAAGTCAGCATATGAAGGGTGAGTAGCGGTGAGATGGACAGTGTGGTGAGCGTCATGTTATCTTAATGCCCAAAAATTGACTTACTTTGGTTGACGCGTCTCAGCTAAGATGTAGAAACCGTTCTTCTTGTTGAAATTGCTGGAGATATTGATGAGTGCAGAGTCAAGGCATTTTCTTCAACGGGCGTCATCGTTAGCACAGTGTGCCACTGCAGTTATCAGGAAGATGTACGGGTCATGGCGTACTATGTAGTAATTAAGGCAGTCTATACTGCTGACGTACTTGTGGAGTTCTCTGGATGTCTGTCATATGTAGAGTCTATCACAGTTGTTCCATGGGATTGTATATATACCTGCAGTTATACTGGTGTTGTCGTCGTTGTCGTTGTTGCTGTCTGGTGTCGTCTCTGGCTGTAGTAGAGGCGCTGCTGGTTATGCCAATTTCACAGTTGGTGATCATGGGGATGTGTTTTGTACTTGAGTTTTTAAGAAGGTTTACGTGTCTCTGTGAGCTCTCTAATACCTGTATATACGCCCTCTGTGTCCCTGCATTGTTGGTAATGGATTGACGAAGCTCCTGGAGAGCGAAACGTTGCCATAATAAAATAACACATTAGTTGCACTTGTGTCCTTTTACCTAACATATGGCTAGATGGCTCAGTCCACGGTGCTTACAGCTGGCAAAAACAACTTACAGGATTATTGTTAGTCTTATTGCTTTGAATAAAAATATACGCACTAGTGCGCCCAACACCGCATAGAATTGTGGTGTCGCAGTGTGAGTGGAAGTGAAGATCGTGTTGGTCGGTGGGTTTACGGTACACTGCGGAGAGATATATACCGGATCCCTTCCCTTCGTGCTTTCGTGTGTGACTAGTTAATGATTCAAGTCTGACCGGAACGTTGTTGCATGTTTCATTATCCTATGTGCCGGTTATGTGTGTATATAGTGTACCTCTCATATACAGAATTAGAGTTTACTATCATGTGGGTATTACAGTAAAGTCGGTAAAGTATTTTTTGACTGGTGGTGTACATTTGGCATGCAGCCTTAATAAGTTGTATGCAAGTGCTAGTGACTTACTAGAAGCAGATAAAATAACTAGCCAAGCTCTGGTGGTATACTAGAAGCAGATATATTAACTAAGCAGGTGCTAGTGGTATACTAGGTGCAGAAATATTAACTAGCCAAGTGCTGCTGGTATGCTAGACGCAGATATGCTAACCAAGTGCTACTTGTATACTAGAAGCAGATATGTTAACTAAACAAGTGCTAGTGGTATACTGGTGCTATCCTGGCCGTAAGCTGCATCGGTTGGTAACACACTCAACTTACAGTGTCCTTAATTCTATCCCCGGTACTGTTCCACACCAGAGGCTATTGAGAAAACTTAGGGCACACGGAATAGGAGAAATTTTTTCCTGGGTAGAGGCATGGCTGACAAATAGACAGCAGAGAGTTTGCATAAATGGGGAGAAATCAGAATGGGGGCACGTCACAAGCGGTGTTCCTCAGGGGTCAGTGTTGGGCCCGTTGTTGTTCACAATTTACATAAACGATATAGATGAGGGAATAAATAGCGACATAAGCAAATTTGCTGATGACACCAAAATAGGCCGTCCAATTCATTCTAATGAGGACATTAGAGCACTCCAGGATGATTTGAATAGACTGACGCAATGGTCGGAGAAGTGGCAGATGCAGTTTAATATTGACAAATGCAAAGTTCTAAATGTTGGACAGTTAAATAACCATGCCACATATAAACTAAATAATGTAGATCTTAATACTACTGATTACGAAAAGGATTTAGGAGTTCTGGTTAGCAGTAATCTAAAACCAAGACAATAGTGCTATAGTGTTCGCAATAAAGCTAACAGAATTCTTGGCGTCATATCTAGAAGTATAAATAATAGAAGTCCTCAGGTTATTCTTCAACTCTATAAATCCTTGGTTAGGCCTCATTTAGACTATGCTGCTCAGTTCTGGTCACCGTATTACAGAATGGATATAAATGCTCTGGAAAACGTACAAAGGAGGATGACAAAGATGATCCCATGTATCAGAAATCTTCCCTATGAGGATAGACTGAAGGCCCTGAATCTGCACTCTCTCGAAAGGCGTAGAATTAGGGGTGATATGATCGAGGTGTATAAATGGAAGACAGGAATAAATAAAGGGAATGTAAATAGCGTGCTGAAAATTTCCAGCCAAGACAGGACTCGCAGCATTGGTTTCAAGTTGGAAAAATTCAGATTCAGGAAGGATATAGGAAAGCACTGGTTTGGTAATAGAGTTGTGGATGAGTGGACAAACTCCGAGTACAGTTATTCAGGCTAAACGTTGTGTAGTTTTAAAAGTAGGTTAGATAATACATGAGTGGGTGTGGGTGGGTGTGAGCTGGATCCGACTAGCTTGTGCTGCTGGGTCTGGTACAGTGCTCCATCCTTGAGTGGGGATGACCAGACTGGGTGGGTCATTGGGATAATCCGGGGGGGGGGGGTCATTGGTCTAATCCGGGGGGGACATGGACCTGCTCCGTATGGGTCAGTAGGCCTGTTGCAATGTTCCTTCTTTCTTATGTTCTTATGTTCTTATGTACTTAAATGTTACAGCACAAACTGCCAGACATCATTTGAAAAGTACCAGAGGGTACAAATCACACAAACCTTAGGAAACAAACCATAGTAGTTACAACCATTAAGATACCTGCTGACCATGTTCATCTAGCAGTAAATACATACCTGGGTACTAGCCGACTGGTGTGGGTCGCATCCTGGGGACAAAATTAACTTAAGTTGCCCGAAATGCTCTGCATAACCAGAGGACTTTCTATACAGTATGGTCTGTATAAGTTGTATCACGTACTTGTAGAAATAAACGTTATTTTATTGAAGCCAATCAGAAGAGCTGGACTCAAAATTTTCGTTGTTTTGCACATATAATTGGTAGACGTGCAGCTACACTCTTAACTATCACTCTCCTCCGTCGTCAGATTATGAGACATCTTTCTTCGAATGTTTGAAACTACGCCACTGAGGATTTTGGAAGTTATCCCGGCCATTCTATGATGTTGGGAATGGGTTCAGTAACTTTGGTCAAAGGGACGAGAACATTGTTCCAAGAATTTGGTCCTCGTTACCGTACACAAGTGTTGAAAATTTGAAGCCGATTGGACGAGGCGTTCTCGAGTTATGAGGGAATTATATAAGAAAGTTGGGGAAGAAAAAAAAATTCAGGCGTTACCTTAAAAGTCCCCCTCCAGGATTACCTAATTACCTCTCAGGATCCTTAAAAATCCCCTTCAGGGTTGCCTAATTACCCTTCAGCATCCTTAAAAGTCTCTTTCAGGGTTACCTAATTACCCTTCAGGATCCTTAAAAGTGCCCTTCAGGGTTACCTAATTACCCTTCAGGATCCTTAAAAGTGCCCTTCAGGGTTACCTAATTACCCTTCAGGATCCTTAAAAGTGCCCTTCAGGGTTACCTAATTACCCTTCAGGATCCTTAAAAGTGCCCTTCAGGGTTACCTAATTACCCTTCAGGATCCTTAAAAGTGCCCTTCAGGGTTACCTAATTACCCTTCAGGATCCTTAAAAGTGCCCTTCAGGGTTACCTAATTACCCTTCAGGATCCTTAAAAGTGCCCTTCAGGGTTACCTAATTACCTTTACCGACATTGTCAAAGACAAAATCTCATATTTCCAATTTTTCGTCTTGGGAAAAAAAATGTTTATTATTAGATTAGTTTAGTGAAACATGAAAAAAAATCCATCAGTTATTTTTAATAAAAAATATTGGAACGTGTGTTTACCTGTTGTATATAATTTAACCTTAATTAATTACATTGTTATTTTTTGTCACCTTTGTAGCTGCTG